CCCCAAAACCCCAAAACCCCAAAACCCCAAAACCCCAGTATATGATAATGGGGTTGAAAATAGAAGCTATTTACCCAAAAGACAGCTCTGATGCCACCATTCAACTCAGAGAGTGTCATTCACAAACATCTGAACAGGTATTTAAGGCATTACGGATGGAGAGCAAGTACTGATTGAACCAACGAAAACGGGCTTTTGAAGAGAAGAAATATGACTTCAAGACTTTTGTCAATCAATCTTACCAAACAACTTCTGAAGACCATCAAGAACCTGTACTAGAAGAGCCTGAAAATGATAAAGAGAAGGAAAATATTGATCCCTCCCCAGTCAAAAAAGTTCGCAAGTACAATATCTCCTTCAAAGGGACAGGGGCGCTGTCTAATCTAGGGAATATTCTGAACCAAGAGCACCAGGTACACAACAATCATAAGATTAAGGAATTTGTGAAGAAAGAAGCAAAGAAATCAGACCAAAAATCCTCCAAAAAAGTGTTCATGGCTGGTAAACTCAAACACAAAGTCATGAAGGAGAAGCTCAAAGAGCAACAAAAGAAGGAAAATAAACGTAAAAGACGTAGAGTCATCCTCAGAGACTACGAGCATGAAGATATTAATAAATCTATAGCAGCCCAAGGTGGAAGAAATGGAGATAAGGAGAAGGTCACAGTCAATGTCCTACCTGAGCGCACCTTTCACAGTGGCAAAAAACGTAGTTTCTACATCAAAGTAGTAGGCGAAAGTGGTTCTGAAGACTCCATTGTTGAAATAGACTCCCAAGAAGCCAAGAAATCTGTAGCTGAAAGAAAACGTAACAAAAAGGCCAAGAAGAAATTCACTGAAAAAGTTGACGTCAACTATGACTACTACTCTGATAAGGACAAAATATCTCCAGAGAAGATTGTGATTGACAGCCCGGCTCCACCAGAATCAGCTGAAAATAAACCAGAGACTACAGATTTAACTGACCAAGCATTATCAAAGATCGTAATGAGAGATATAATGACAGAAGTCACTCTTGCAGAAAGATATGAAGCCCAGCAGATAGCAGTACGCAATTTGGAGAAAGCCAAAAAGTCTTCTGGAAAATCAAAGAAGCAGGCAGATCTACCTTCAAAGAAGGCAGATCCTGCCTACAAGCCTTCTGCTGGAAGCCAGAAAAATTCCTCCTCAGATGTCTCCTTGATTGAGGAAGGTGACCTAGAAGAGCTCAAAAAAGAAGCAAGAAACGTTCTTAAGAAAAAGAAACGTGTTGTAGTGTTCAACGAAAAATTTGTGGAAGATACAGAGGAAGACATGAGTCAAGAATATTGTGTTGAAGATGACATCAAAATCAAGAAAGGAGCTAAGAAAAAGAAACCACCTGTTAAGAAGAGAAAAGTTCCAACTAGAGGAAGAAGAGGGGGAGGATTCCTATGTTCTGTTAGAAAAATTCGGAACTAATTTTGAGTTCAACATGTCAAAAATTTATTGGGGTTTTGGGGTTTTGGGGTTTTGGGGTTTTGGGG